GGCTGGTGGACGCAGGCATTTGGGAACTGATACCTATACTTTCCTAACCCCTCGGACTCGGGCGCACCTTGCTGGACGCTGTAGCAAGCTGGGGGACGCTGCCGTAAAGTATGAACGCAGTCTCGACGGGCTCTTTCAGAATACGAATGGCTAGAGCCGATTGATACCCGTCTGCGGTGTTTTCCGGTGCTTAGCATCGGGGCGACATTGCAGCGGTAGCGCGCCGACGCGCCTTACAGCGCGTTACAGCGCGTTAACGCTCGCGAAGTTTGAACGCTGCCTCAGGATCCCCTCAAGGATGTGCACAAACCTTCGCCAATGCGTCGTGATCTTCTTCCAGTTGCTGCAGCCGCTTAGCATTACCTTGCCCTGCCAAATTCGTGAGCACACTGGTGAGTTGACAAGAATGGTCGCAATTCTTCAGAACGAGTTCAGCATGCTGGTCAAGGCACTCTCTATGTGGCATAAGGTCTGAAACACGGTAAAGGGACGACCTGATGCGACCTGTCGTTAACGAAAGCAGTTGTGGTTGGTTTTTGTTCGTTAGTTCGGAGATGTACGGGCAGGGTACAACATCGTTGCGTGAAGCACATAGGGGGGAGGGGGTCGTAACTTTTCTCTAGGGAGGGGAGATCGTATTTGGTCATTGGGAGAGAGGGTGGGGGGTCGTTTGTGCCTCTGAGAGAAAGTTGTCGCGTTGGTTTTCCAGTTAATGACTTCAGCGTGGTTTTTCCTGTTTCATCCCCGTTCCCACCCCCGCCTCCTCCCGCTCGACAGCAAAATTTTTGGGTGAAGTACTGGACTAGAGAAAATGAGGAAATTGGTAGGTAGGTGTCGGCGAAGGGCTGGAGGTCGTACCGAGACCCTCATTTAGGGAGGAGGTCGTACTGACACCCTCTCTCGGAGGGGGGGGTCGTACCTACACCACCACCCCACACATCACGATGCTGTACCCTGTGTACGGATGAGCTATCAACTCTGTTACTGAAACGCTTAACCCAAAAGAAAATATCTTCTAGAAGGTTCACCTTCTTCTCTTTCATTGCAGAGCTCGTCAAGGCCACTCAGGGCGATCTCGAACAGGGTCGTCTGTACGCAGGTATCCTTCTGATTTTCAACGCACAATGAAGCACTGTGATAATTCCTGAAAGTATCAGCACTGGACATGTCATTGGTGGGAGGAATAGAGGGGTGAGGTCAGAGGCCTTCTCGCAACCCTTCCACCAATGGAATTTACAGTAACCGCCCGCCCCCAGCTACCGTGTCCACTTTGAGGTGATGAGGCACTAAAGTAAGCTGAAAAAAAGGCTTACAGGATACGAGAATCTCCGATATTTCGCAGAAAATTGTCATGGAGTAATCCACTATGGAACCCTAGAAACGTAGCCTTGAAGTGCTCAAGCCATCTACAGTCTGAGGTTAGTGAACCAATACCCCAGGAGTATGCAAGTTTCTATTTTCTCCTCAGCAGTGCTAGCCTGAATGTAGCAAGATTTGAAGAGTTCAAGAGCTCGGTTAGGAAATAACAAGTACGTTCAGGCCATTTCCGAAGCTTCTGAGCCATTAAAAATATTTTGGGCGCCTCTTTGTGCTCGTATAGGTCGTTTCACTGAATTCAGCTCGGCGAGGGAGTGGAGGGCGGGCGGGGGGGCGGTGTCAGCGGCGCGTGGGCTCTGGTGCGTCACCACCCTCTTTCGTATCACATTTGATGACAGAAGCCGCTGTGATCGAGGGAAGACGGGCCCCTGACTGACTTCAGTGATAACGCGAGATTTGGAGCAGGGTGTGGTTCTTGTGAGCCCATGCTTTTCCACACATGTGTCACCACAGTGAACTCACTTGCAAACCTCCTGGAACTTTGCCACAGGATCCTGTAAATGAATCAGTTCAGCGACGCTGTAGAAGAGATCCGAACAAATGCGCATGTCTGTATACATTCGGGCACTCCTGTGGCGTCAAGAACCACTGGCAGTTCGAATTCTTCAGCCCCTGAAATGGGGGACAACGGCCTTAAACATCTACTTTTATAGAAAAAAAAGGAATAAGTGACACAGCAAAAATAAATAAATAAATAAGAAACAAAACAAACACCAATTAAAATAAAAATAAAAATTTCAAAGAGTATTAAAAGCGGCGGTATGTTAGCATACACGTGATGTGTCAAGATGGGCTACTTCTTTATAGTCTACTTGGCTTGACGTAGTGCAGCGACTCACGTCGAATCGATTAAATTTGGCACGAATATCGCGCGTGTGACGCCGCTTACAACAATGCATTCGACGCGTTACCGCAACGTGGACCTAACGCCCCACACCACCTTTCTGGGCACTGAAACGAACTATAAAAGCGTACTCACTCGAAACACTGGAAACCGCTAGCAGTGGAAGAAGCACGTAGAGGGTTTGCATACTGAAAGAGAAGAACACTAATGAACAAGAAAAAAATGTTTAGTTTGAAATAAGAGCTCAGGATGGTTTTCGTACGGGTACTAATCGGAAACGATTTGGTCACGAAAAAAAATACTGAACACCTTAGCAAGCAAAATAAGGAAAGAAATGCGTGTGTCTATCTCCCGAAGTAGCAGAAGATTTGGCCTTGACGATCGAGGCACAAAAAGTTTCAAAGGCGATAAATTTTGCAAAATGTAGTGCGCATGGGTGACTACCAAGTTTGGAATACTGGTCGATAGGACCGAGATTTCCCCGCCAAATTGGTGATTGACTCAGTGAAAGATCAAATGGCCCCCAACATCCGGATGGATACTGTAGTTCTTCCGCTTTGGAAGCTCACCGGGGCGGAAAGCTCCCACAGATGTCCTGACCCTCATAGTATCGAAATCTAAAATCATAAAGTACAATACCTTCAGAGGCTCAAGAGAATCGCAGTCCTATCTGGGAAGGGAAATTTTTGACAATAGAAACAAATGTATCACCTTCTTATTGTTTCACACGCAGTTTTGTAACAATATCAAATGGTTTAGGACAGGCTAGAGTGAAGAGAAACGGATAGTAGATGCACGAGACGCAGAGGAACGTCTTCGGTATCGCGTGATCGCTATCTTACTTCACATTACTTATCATTTGAGATCACGCGGATGCTTCTGAAGATGCAGTACAGGTAAAATACTACTGGGAGATGGTCCAGTATTTCAGGTGTCTATAATGCAATGAATGTGTATTGATCAGTATTGATTGGAGAGTTTCTATTGTGATATTCAGTCGCTACAGAGGCTCTTAGCGGTGATGACTTACTGAAAACACTTCTCTTACCATATTCATTTATCTGTTCTATATAGTCACTAGATTAATTTTTATTTTTTTTTTAATTATTTATGCGTTAAATCAGTTATTTACTTGTTTTATATTATGTTTTAGAAGCTTGGAGTTCGTACTTATTATTATACTTCGTGACATGTGAAATAAGAATCAAAATGTAGTGGATGGGGGCTACTTGAAGGGAGCTCCAAGTGATAGCCATAATGCAATGAATAGGTATTGATCAATCAGCTTACGCCATTCGATGGCAAAGGGAGGTCACCCCGGATAATCATTACCTGAGTAACTTCTGTAAAGCGGGTGATAGTCAATTCTTTCAGGGGCCGAAAAATTGGATTTGATCTGATAATTGCTGATCTACTGATATGGGTGATCCGGCGGGAACACCCATTTGGGTGGGTATATAAGTGAGAAAGAGCGCTGCTAAGGAATGCCATCTGTTTTCTAGGCATCTTCTAACTTATTTATTACCTTAATCAAGACTAGCTCACCATGAGGTTGTCTGCATTACTCCTGTTCGTATTCCTTGGCGGATGCCTTGGGTAAGTGACACCGATTCTTCCATTGATCCACCTAAGCCTCATCCATTTAGCTCTTTCGCGCCACCGCAGCGTCAGCATCAGTATGTTCAGCTACCGAAAGTTTGACGTGATACCTCCCTGTGCCCATACATGCCTCTCTGACATGTTTGCCGTTGCTGCTGATCTTTTCAGTCTACAAAATACCACGGAGAATTTCAGTGAGTTGTGCAGGTGAGTAACCCAAGGTAGTGGGATCCCA